CACTTTTTTCGTTTCTCTCCCATGCAGAGACAGTGCAGAAAGGGAAGAGGAGGTGTAAAGACAGGAAATTAGGATCAACACTGCAGTCAGAAATTTAAAGGGGAAGGTGCACACACACAGAGACAGGCATATCAGGTTCACATTTGAAAATTTTTTGTGTAATTCTATATAAATGAACATAAAACTTTTTATACCAGTTACACAAGAACCGAGCCCTGAGGCACCCCAGTAGTTATGGTGCTTTTCCACTGCATGGTACGGCTCAGTACGGTACGCCACGGCACGGCTCGGCTCGCGTTTCCACTGCAGTTTAGTACCGCTTTAGCGTTGGCGGGATTATTCACATGTCGTTATAGTTGCGCCGCCTCTTCTGCCGCGACTCCTGAAAAACTTTTTCATTCCGCGTCGCCCCAGTACGGTTCACTTGGAACCTCAACCGAGGTGGTACTAAAAAAAGTACCAGGTGCCAGGTACTGTACCCAGTGGACAACCCCCAAAAGTGAACCGTACCATGCAGTGGAAAAGCGCTATTGCAATGAAAGGAAGAAGGGAAACCGGTCTGTAGTTCTCTAAAAGAGATGGGTTCATATGTTAATGTGTTATTATTACACACCAGAGAGTGAGGTGTGTTATTTGTGCCTGTCATTTTTGTCATATAGCATTGGTCTCAAACTCAGTTCCTGGAGGGCCAGAGCTCTGCACAGTTTAGCTCCAACCCTAATCAAACACACCTGATCCAGCTAATCAAGCTCTTCAGGATTACTAGAAACTTCCAAGGAGGTGTGAGTTGGAGCTGGTTGGAGGTAAACTCTGCGGAGCTGTGGCCCTCCAGGAATTGAGCTTGAGAAAATATTTTCACTTATGGAGCAAAAGCATATGAACTATCAATTAAAGTTCGGCGTTACTCAACATTAACTGTTAATAAAACAATTCAATAACTCAAACTATTATAGTATAAATATTGTACTCACAGTTGTCCTGATGTGCAGAATATCAGCATGGATGCCACAGAAGAAGGAAGATCAGAAGCTGTTTGTCAGAAATTTACTTTAGTGATTCTCATGAAATCTGTCAAGAATGTCCATGTTGTATATAAATAAGCCAATATTTAGGACCATTATTTTAATTTTTTTGCATTGTGACATTACTGTGATTAAATTTGCCCCATATACTCTACTTATGTACTGTATATTATACTTTTAAAAAAATAAAAAATAAAACAGACTTATGTTAGAAGAGGAGCAAATAGTTAACAGTTGCTATCAGGATAACGGTCATTAACGGATTTAAGGCGGGGCTTAAGAGAGGCAGTTATTGTTAATAGGCTTTCTTTATACATTTGTTTTTAATTTTAGGTGAAATATGTCCCGGCCTCTATGTGAGTCACTTAATTAGTGCTTGGCTATCACTAACACCAGCAATTTCCTAAACTCACATCAATTATCTTAGACACAAACAGCTGTGCAATTCTGTGTCAATAAAATCGGCTGTTATACTTAAGTATTTATTATATGTATATTATATAAAACGGGTTAACTAATAATTATGTCTGTGATTTTACCCATTGTCCTACAATCATCCTCTGTCTGTCAATGCCGCGCATTTTCATCATTAAACTGAAGTCATATCCAGCTAAGTTGGCGCTCCAGTCCAGCAGGGGGCGGAAGTGCGTCATATGTTGCTGGGGCGGAAGTAGAGCAGTGTTTTCTTTCTGCCGCTGCGTGATTAACGTGTTTCAGGTCGGTTGTGTGATTTTATGTCATAATCTGCTTTAAGGTTTTATGACCGTATTATATCGCTGATTAACGTGTTTCAGGTCGGTTGTGTGATTTTATGTCATAATATGCTTTAAGGTTTTATGACCGTATACTTTATATCGCTATTTTGTACCGGACGGCAAATGATTTATGTTTTACAGAGAAGCGAGCAGAATATCATGTTTTAATACCTCAAATCCAGCAGCTGAACGTATCTTAAATAAATGTGATTAATATTATGCATTATTGAATAATATTCTTGATAGAAAGCAAAAGTCACGTTTATAACATTGTTATGATTTCTTGAGCACTTTTTTGTCTCTAAGGTCAATTTGTCATAGTAAAAACATTTTTGTTATGAAAAGGTTTTGTATTTGAAACGTTTTATCAAATGTTTTTTTTTAATGTTTAGATTTGACTGCTGTAACGTCACGTTTTGGTAACGGTACGGTTCACTTGGAACCTCAACCGAGGTGGTACTTAAAAAAGTACCAGGTGCCAGGTACTGTACCCAGTGGACAACCCCCCAAAAGTGAATCGTACCGAGACGTACCGTGCCGTACCATGCAGTGGAAAAATAAGTATTGTTAACTCGTTCAAGTGTTTTTGCAATGAAAGGGAGAAGGGAAACCGGTCTGTAGTTCTCTAAAAGAGATGGGTTAAGGGTGTGAGTTGGAGCTGGTTGGAGGTAAACTCTGCGGAGCTGTGGCCCTCCAGGAATTGAGCTTGAGAAAATATTTTCACTTATGGAGCAAAAGCATATGAACTATCAATTAAAGTTTGACGTTACTCAACATTAACTGTTAATAAAAAAATTCAATAACTCAAACTATTATTGTATAAATATTGTACTCATCAGCATGGATGCCACAGAAGAAGGAAGATCAGAAGCTGTTTGCCAGAAATTTACTCGAGTGATTCTCATGAAATCTGTCAAGAATGTCCATGTTGTACATAAATAATCCAATATTTAGGACCATTATTATTATTATTTGCATTGTGACATTACTGTGATTAAATTTGCCCCATATACTCTACTTATGTACTGTATATTATACTTAAAAAAATAAATTAATAAATTAAAACAGGCTTAAACAGACTTGTGTTAGAAGAGGAGCAAATAGTTAACAGCGGCAGAGAAAGAACAACAACACAGTGATGAGGAAGAGGAGGATGATGATGATGAGAATAATGGGGATGATGAAGATGCAGATTTCATTCCTCCAGGTTTGTTTCTCCTTTTATGACCTTTTGTTGTTTTTCATGACACTTGAATGTCAGCAGACACTTTGCAGGATCAGGTTCATATTGACTGATGGTGCAGATTTACTGAGATATTTGGGAATGTGATGGCAAATGTTAGCAGGGCTGAACAATTTACAGGATTTTTTTAAGTGGGATTAAAAATGTGCTCTTTTAAGAGCTCCAGGTTTTCTGTGCTTGTTTGTAAGGCTACTGGATTTGGCCAAACATCACTTTATGGTTGTTTTGCATAGGGTGTCCACGGGGTCTTAAAAAGTATTAAAAGTTGATAGATCAATTTAGAAAAAATTAAGGCCCTTAAAGGGATACTCCACCCCAAAATGAAAATTTTGTCATTAATCACTTACCCCCATGTCGTTCTAAACCCGTAAAAGCTTCGTTCGTCTTCGAAACACAATTTAAGATATTTTGGATGAAAACCGGGAGGCCGCGACACAAGGGTGCGCTGTTTTCTTTCAAATCACAGCGTAAATACACGTAGAAAACGTATCCTTGTGTCGCGGCTGACACAGAAGAGCGTACGCTGCTTGCGTTCAGCGGATATTCTCCAAAATGGCGCTACGGTGATGCGCACAGACATAGAGGAGACGAATTGTTGAATAAAGTCGTTAATTTTGTTTTCTTCGCGTACAAAAAATATTCTCGTCACTTCATAACTGTACGGTTGAACCACTGATGGCAGATGGACTATTCTGACGATGCTTTTCATACTTTTCTGGACCTTGCCATTTTCCAAGGTATTAAAGGGGTCATATGATGCGATAGAGAGAGCGCGAGAGAGAGAGAGCGAGACACATCACAGTGGAGTCTGTCACGAGACTCTGTTCCCCTTTCAGGCTGTCTTTACATTTATTTTGAAAGATGAAGCTCGTGATTATGGTAAGGGGCGTTACATTTCCGACGAGTGCTTGCGGTGTTCGGCCAATCACAATGCACTGGGTCAGCTGGCCAATCAGAGCAGACTGCGCTTGTCGGAAGGAGGGACTTTGTAGAAAACGAAGCGTTTGAGAGAGGCGGGGCATAGAGGACCTACAATAATGTACAGTATTTGAAAAATAATGTGTTTTTTGAACATTAAAGCATGTCAACATATTCTGTTACACCAAATACACAAAATAATGATCTTTAAAAAAGCATCATATGACCCCTTTAAATTTTGCATAATTTTTTCATTATGTATTTGTCCAAACTGAGGTTGTATGCTTAAGTTTGCCTGAATTGAATCATTGCGTAGGCGAATGATGGGATTCTGTGTAGTTTATTAATGGAATCCCGCTAGAATTTACTTCATCTGTTACCGTGCTCACTGACAGCTGCATGATAGCGCAGGTTTCTTTACGCCCTGTTGTTAAACAACATTGTTGATTAATGGGGAAATGCAAGTTCCCTTTCGAACGATCTCTCCCGTTGCGTGGAAACTCATATGGAAAACTCCAGTTTTACTCTGTGCTGAAGCCTGATTTGTTCACGTTTGTGTAGCTGCACAAACCAATGGTGCTTTAGTCTGCCAGAAAGGGCGGAGCCGACCCCTATATAAGTCGGCTCAGAGCTCCATTCATCACATCATTCTCCTTCAGCGACGAGGATCATCTCTTCGCTGACTCTGCAGTCAAGAAGCCGAAGAAGGAAGAAGCTCAGCCTGCAGCTCGCCGCCGTAAAAGTGCCCCGGCAGAGAAAGAAGTGAGAAGCCTGCACGATGCAGAAGGGCAGTGATTGCGTCGTCTGTCTGGGCAGCGCCCACGCAGAGCCACACGCACACTGAGACGGAATGCTTTGGCTTTCACTTAAAGCATACAAGTCTGTCCTTGCCTCGCTTGTGGATCCCCTTCTAATGAAGGTGGCCCCGCCTCTCCCACTCTCACGTTCCTCCCCTTCAGTTGGGTTCTAAATACAGTAAAGGAGGTTACTCGCTCTAGTTCACTCGTGCTGTGGAAACAATACCTCTAGCGAACAGCGAGCTAGGCTTTTTTGGTCGCTACTTCCTCGTTCCAAAGAAAGATGGCGGGCTCAGATATATTCTAGATCTCAGACATCTGAATCGCTCACTTATGAGATGGCCGTTCAGATGTTACCTTTGAAACAGATCCTCGTGAAGATTTGCCCCAAGGACTGGTTTCTAACAGTGAATCTGAAAGATGCTTACTTTCTCATCTACATAGCCCCCATCACAGACCGTTCTTGAGATTTGCATTCGAGGGAGTGGCCTATCCTCCTGTGGGGAGTGACCTAGTAGCAGTCCTTCCGTTTGGACTGTCTCTGGCCCCGCGCACTTTTACGAAGTGCATAGACTCAGCTTTTTCCCCTCTGAGACAAATGGGAATCTGCATATTGAATTACCTCGATGATTGGCTGGTTCTAGCCAGATCAGAATGGGAATTGGCAGCTCACAAAGAGCTGTTGCTCAGCCGCTTAGAGCACCTCTGGTTGATGATCAACCCACAAAAGAGTCATCTGTTACCCAGCAAGCAGGCTGTCTTTCTGGAAACAATTTTATACTCTGCCCAAATGTGGCCATGGATTGCGCAGGAACGATCCCTGACTATTCAGCGATTAGCGGCATCTCTCAAACCGGGAATGATATTTCCCTTCAAGGTTTTTCAGAGGTTACTTTGCCTCATGGAGGCCGGCGCCTCTGTAATACCTCTAGGCCTGCTCAACATGCGGCCTCTTCAATTTTGGCCCGTGTTTCATCCCACACCTGGCGCCTGGGACGGTTTTGCGTCAGGGTAAACCACCGCTGTGTCAGAGCTGTGGCCCCTGGACAACCTCTCGTCTGTTTCAAACAGGCATGCGGTTAGGACTGACCTCCAGAAGGAAGGTGGTTACAACAGATGCCTCCAACTCGGTTGGGGCGCCCGGTTGGAGGGCAATCCGGCGTTCGGCTCCTGATCAGCCCCAGAGCAATGCCTGTATATCAACTGCCTAGAAATGTTGGCGGTTTTCTTAGCCCTGAAAACATTCCTACCGGCCTTAAAGGGGCACCGTCTTAGTCCGGTCGGACAGCATGACGGCAGTGGCCTACATCAATCACCAAGGTGGTCTCAGGTCACACACTCTTTACAGGATGGCTCGTCACCTTCTCTATTGGGCAAAAATAGAACTCCTCTCGTTAAGGGCGGTTCATGTGTCAGGCAGATTGAACCTTGGTGCATATATGCTGTCCAGAGGCAAGGTAGCCCCGGGCGAATGGGCGCTACATCCTCAAACGGTTCAAAAATCTGGTCAATCTTCGGGAAGGCAGAAGTCGACCTCTTCGGCTCAGAAGACAACTCTCACTGCTCAACATACTTCTTGATACAGCGAGATGCTCTGGGCCATGATTGGCCCAGTGCTCGCCTGTACGCTTTGTCCCCAGTCGCCCTGATTCCTCAGGTAGACAGGCGGGTCAGGGCTGACCAAGTGCTCTCTCCTCCTAGTGGCCCCGCTCTGGAGGAACCAGGCCTGGTTCCTAGAGCTAGTGCAGCTCTCAGCAGCAGCCCCGTGGCCCATTCCGCTGAGGAGGGACCTTCTCACGTAGGCGAAAGGCATGATTTGGCATCCCCGGCCGGAGCTGTGGAGCCTTCATGTATGGTGCCTCGATGGGAGCTTAATCAGCTCCCAGCTAGAGTAAGCAATACCATTTTAGAGGCAAGAGCACCGTCGACAAGACGCCTTTACAACCTAAAATGGTCGGTCTTCCTAAACTGGTGCTCTGCACGTAGTTTGGACCCGGTATCATGTGACATGTCCCACGTGCAAATCTTTTTGCAGGAGCTGTTGGATAAGGGGCACGCCCCTTTCATGCTCAAAGTGTATGTGGCAGCTATCACAGTGAACCATTCTTTCGAAGCTGGCCAATCGATCGGCAGAAACGACCTGATCGTTAATTTTCTTAAGGGGCGCACAGAGACTGAACCCTCCTCGCCCTCAGACTGTGCTGTCTTGGGACCTGTCTATAGTCATACGGGCCCTACGAGGGCCCCCCTTTCGAGCCTCTCAGTTTGGCCGATTTGCGGCCCTTATCGCTTAAAACGGCCCTCCTAGCTTTGGCATCGGTTAAGCGTGTGGGTGACTTGCAAGCGCTGTCAATCAGCGCCTCGTGTCTTGAGTTCGGACCTAACGACTGTAAAGTCGTCCTAAAATCAAGACATGGTTATGATCCTAAAGTGCTCTCGACTTCGTTCAGAGCTCAGGTGACCAATTTTGTGATCACTCTTGGTTCGTCCGTGTGGTGTACGATCACACCAGTGTGATTTGAACATTTAAACCTGCGTTCACGTGGGAATCGAAAGGAATCGAAAAGAATCGAATCGACAAGCGGAATCAGAATCTGAATTGATAATATTCAAATGATACCCAACCCTAGCTATCTTACAATCAATATGTCGTCAATGTAACAGGTTAAAACTTGAAGTGGCGATGAGGTCTTAAATTGTATGGAAAGAGTCTTAAAAAAGGTCTTAAAAGGTATTAAATTTAACTCCATGTTTCCTGTATATACCCTGTTGCAGTATATTGTGATAATTATTCATACATTCTGAATCATAATAATTATTAATTAATATATTGCCAAAAAAAAAGCATTATGCAGACTAACTTTATTCAAGTATATTTTAAAGTTGTTTTATTAATGTTTTGTTCCTTTCAGATGCCGTTGGTGGTTCATCTTTTGATGGAGATGAAGAAACAGTCTCAACATCAAAAGAGCAGCTGAAGACCAAGAGTTTCTCCTGCACCACGTGTGGAAAAACACTGAGTTCAGAGGGTCATTTAGCGAGACACGAGAGAACACACACAGAACAGAAAGACTTCAGCTGTAAGATATGCAACATCAGCTTTCCTACCGCAGTAGAGAGGAGACTTCATTCAAAAGAGCACAGCATGAAGAAGGAGTTTCACTGTGCACAGTGCGGGAAATTGTTTTTAATTTATTCTAAACTACAAGTTCACATGAATACACACCGTGAAAAGTCTTTCCACTGCAGCGAATGCGACAAGTGTTTCAGCACCAAAGGAAGTCTTGATGCTCATAAGCGAATCCACACGGGAGAAAGACCGTACAAGTGTCCTCACTGTGAGAAGACCTACAACCACAGAGCTCATCTGAGGACACATGTGCGTGTTCACACCAATGAGAGGCCGTATCAGTGCAGTGAATGTGGGAAAACCTTTACAAACTCAGGCTCTCTAAAGTCACACCAGAAAATCCACTCTGATGAGAAACCGTTTCAGTGCAAATACTGTTACAAACGATTCCGTCATATTTCTAGTCTGAACAATCACGATAGGACTCACACCGGAGAGAAACCGTATCTGTGCTCCTACTGCGGGAAGAGCTTTTCTAATCGAGCTCATTTTAAAGAACATAAGCGAGTCCACACTGGAGAAAAACCATATCAATGCAGCGTTTGTGGGAAGAGTTTCCGTAGGGGTGTTACTTTACAGATGCACACATTGATTCATACCGGAGAAAGACCGTTCAAATGCTCACAGTGTGACAAGACGTTTGCTCGATCAGACGTCCTGAAGGTCCATCAGCGAGTTCATACAGGAGAGAAACCTTACTCCTGCTCCATCTGCGGCGAGAGATTCGCTTATTTAGGTAGTTTTCAGACCCACCAGAACAAACACGCTAAAGAACAAACAGCAGTTGCTTTCATCATTCATGCCATGTGATATATGACAGTACACATGATTACAATTTAAGACATGCACAATATAATATACAACAGTTGAATTGGATTTCTGAACAGCGTTCATAGTGTGGATATTTAGTCCAGCATCACTGAGTGATTTCACTGTTTATGCAGTATTACAGACCAGAGTGTGAGTAATTTTTGTCATATACTTTGAAACTATTTTCATTTATGGAGCAAAAGCATGAACTATTGGTTAAAGTCTGATTACTAACTGTTAATAAAACAATTCAATAACTCAAACTATTATAGTATAAATGTTGTACTCACAGTTTTCCTGATGTGCAGAATATCAGCATCAATGTCGCAGAAGAATGAAGATCAGAAACTGTTTGTCAGAAATGTACTCGAGTGATTCTCATGAAATCTGTTAAGAACGTCCAAATGAAGCCAATATTTAGGACCATTAAGTTTTTTTTTTTCATTGTGACATTACTGTGATTAAATTTCCCCCATATACTCTTTTTATGTACTGAATATCATACTTAAAATATTTTAAAACAGGCTTAAAATAGAAGAGCAAAATATCGTCTGATAGAAAGGTAACAGACAGTTGCTGTCAGGATAACGGTCATTAACAGATTTCTAGGCTTCAGAAAGGGTCAGTTATTGTCACGATGCATCTAAATGGGCTTAACTTAGGCTTTCTCCAGCACTATATATAATTTCAGGTTTTATTTTGGGTAAACTATGTCCCGGACATATTTTCGTGTGAGTCACTAAATTAGTGCTAAAGTAGCAACTTTAAAACCAGCAATTTCTTAAACTCACGTAAATTATTTCGGACACAGCTGTACAGTACAGGGGGGGCAGCTGTCAGGTGATGTGACCCTCATGTTCATATAATACATTTTTATAGAATACCAATTGGCGTTTCTAGTGGCAATTTTGGGAACATGCCATGAAAGCTAACAGGAAACCAATTTTTGTGAAATCATGCTCAAATTTGAAAAATAACTGCAGGACTTGGGACTTTGAGACCACTGTGGACATATATACTTTATTTTTATGAAATAAACTCAACTCTCAACTCAACCTTTATTTATAAAGCACTTTCAAAACCATAAAAATGGACCAAAGTGCTGTACACAAGCAGTATATAATAAAGATTTAAAAAAATAAAACATTAAAATATAGGAACAAAACATAAAATAAAAGACAAGTCATTCACAATTGTCCTGACCAATCAAATGCCGAAAGCCTGATAAAACAAGTCTTTAAGTCCTTTTTAAAAATGTCCATGCTTGATGAGGATTTTACAGATAATGGCAGAGCATTCCAAAGTGCTGGAGCCGCAACAGAAAAAGCGCGATCTCCACTCCACCTCAGACGAGACCGTGGGACTGTCAAAATCAAGCTCTGAGAGGAGCGCAATAGTCGAAGCAATTGGTAAGGGACCAACATATCCCTTATGTACTCAGGAGCCTGATCATGCAGAGCTTTAAAGTCCAGATGATATGTGAAAATAATGTTCACTTTTTCATAAAAGCATGAAACTTGGTACACTTGTATAGTTTGCGGCTCTAAACATTTTTAGAAATGGAGCCATCGCAAAAACACCTTGTTGTTGCCATGGCGACCATTTTACTTTCCGCCATAACCAAATTATGTATTTTGTGTCATAGCTCCTGAACCAAACATGATAACACAGAAAAGGTGATGTCTACCCCTATGTTTTGATAGACAAATATTACAATGATACCATATACAGCAACATAAACTGTTCAGGTGAAGAGTTAATGGTGAAATCAGCTATGTAAGGAGGAAGGAGAAGTGAAGTGGGCTGCATTCTGAATCATTTGTCGAGGTTTGATTGTGCATGATGGAAGTTCAGCCAGAAGAGCATTGCAATAGTCCAGCCTAGAAATGACAAGGGCCTGGGCAAGAAGTTGTGCAGCATGCTCTGTTTGAAAGGGCCTAATCAAGCAGTTCTTTACAATATGGTCCTTGAAGGTCAGCTGGTCACGAAAGAATAATTTTTGATGAACCTAGCAGGATGATGAAATCACGCTGTAGAGTCAGAGTGGCAGGGAAAACGAGAAGCTCAGTATTTGCCAGGTTGAGCTGCAGGTGATGTTCCTTCAATTTGACAAATGGGTGGGTGAGGGAAGAGAGGATGACACTACAGAGGAAACATGGCATGGTGAAAGGTTTTACTAGGAAACCCTGAAAGACCTACCTGTGAGATAAGATTCAAACCAGTGGAGTGCAGATCCTGTGATGGTAGACAGGAGAATCTGATGGTTCAGTGTCAAAAGTGGCAGATAGATCCAGCAGAATAAGAACTGATGATTTGGAATCATCTTTCACAATCTGCAGAGCTATACTGACTATATAGTTGAATGGCCGCTGCTGAAACCTGATTGGTTAACGTTCAGTTGGTCATTCTGTGAAAGAAATAATGTAACTGTGTCTATAAAGGTGTGAACCAAATGGTCCATTCCATTAGAATAACAAAGGAACAGCATTCCTCAGGAACGTCTTGTAGATTGTAGGATCTCCAGCTGGAGCTCCTAACAGTATATGTTGTTTGTAGCGCTTTTGTCTTTAGGTATAACATGATATCCCATAGACAGAACTTTGGGAGAAGCTAAGATTCTTACAAGGGTTAAGATTATTTGAAGGACGACATG